ACAATGACACAAGAAAAAGCAGACTAAAGAGGCCCCACTCCCAGCTGTGCTAGAGCAACAGGCATGTCAAAGGAAAGACAGCTTACCTGAATCTAGTTGCTGATTAATACATTTTTGTCCTCCACAGCACTCAAGGACTAAATCACACCTTCCTTGTGCTGACCCCTGTACCAACACAAAAGCTCAGTCCTGAGCTTCCCACTGTGTGGCTGAGGAGGAAGAATGACTGGCACAGGAGCTGCTGGAGGTGGCAGCCCCTTATAGCATCCCTTCACAAACACCAGCTGTATCATAACCCTTGACTGTCAATTAGGGAACTGTTCTAGTCCCTTGCTATTTTCTCTGCTCATAGCTGTACTGATCCGCTTAGTTAGACTCGTTCAGCGTGACATTATTTCACATGCCTCTGCATTTTCATACTTTGGTGCCTTCTGTATCCTACTGTGCATTTGAACACCTGGGAGTAGAGAGGGTTGGTCATGTTCCAGGTCTGGCCAGGTAGCAGTAGGAGCAGCCAACTACTGAGGTCCACCTAACCAGTCCCCATCTCTTCAAACAAAAGGAGATACGTAAGTATTACAACTTCGACAAACCACTCTGGACATATGCACTAAAGCACACATGTAGAGAAACATGAAAACACCACACTGTCTTCTTCCCCTCTTCACAGGGAATAGTTTGGATTAAAGAAAACATTCTTAATGAGAGAAGAATGATCAGGAAGGCAAGAAGGAAGATGAGAGAGACGCTCTCCTCCCTCACAGCACAGGGGACTGGGAAGGCGACGAGCTGTCCTGGCTCTGCTCCCACGACCTCATTCCCTGCAGATATGCCAGTTTCCCAAGGAAGGGATACTGCCAGGGGAAAGCTGGACAGTATCAAAAGTGACTGCAGAGCTCTGGGAGCAGTAGTCAAGGGCATGAGGGCCCAGGTAGTGTTCTCCTCAATCCTGCTGCTGAGGACAAGCCAATAACTGGCTGCGGAACTGGTGTTGGTGACAGTGTTTTGGGTTCTGTAACCGTGGGACCCTGTCTGCAGATCAGCGTCTGCTTGAGAGAGATGAGATACACCTCACCAAGCAGGGCAAAGCTATTTTCACCAATAGGATGGCTGACCTCATAAGGAAGGCTTTAAACTAAGAATGATGAGGGAGGGAGAGAGTAAACAGCAGTCCTGTGGGGGAGTGATGGACAGGTTCACTAAGCAAAGGGCATGGGGTGATGTGACAGGAAGAGATGAAAAAATCAACAAAATGGGGCTTAAGCAAGGACACCTCCAGTGCTGCATGTAAGCAAGGAAGTACCTGCAAGGCACCATTATGGAGAAATACCCTAAACCCTCTCCAGGAATTCAACATACTGGGGTGCCTCTCTGAAGTGCCTGTATGCTAATGCACGCAGTCTGGGGGGAATAAACATGATGAGTTAGAGATCTGTGTGCTGTTGCAGGGCTATGGTCTTGTTGGGATCACAGAAACACAGTGGGATGGCTCCCATGACTGGAGTGTTGCAATAGAGGGATGCAGGTTCTTTAGGAAGGACAGGATGGGTAGGCGAGGAGGGGAAGCTGCCCTTTATGGGAGAGAGCAGCTGGAGTGCATAGAGCTCTGCCTGGGCATGGATGAGGAGCCAACTGAGAGCTTATGGGTTAGGATTAGAGAGAGGACTGGTAAGGTGACATTATAATGGCTGTCTGCTATAGGCCACCTGACCAGGAAGAGCAATCAAATCAGGCCCTCTACAGGCAGACAGGAGCAGCCTCACATTCGCAGGCCCTGGTCCTCATGGGGGGCTTCAACCACCCCGATATCTGTTGCAGGGACAACACAGCAAGACATAAGCAATCTGGGAGGTTCCTGGAGTGCATTGATGATAACTTCCTCCTCCAAGTGATAGAGCAGCCAACAAGGAGAGGTGCTCTGCTGGATCTCATACTCCTTAAGAACAAGGGGCTCATTGAGGATGTGAAAATCAAAGGCAGCTTTGGCTGCAGTGACCACGAGATGGTGGACTTCAGGATCCTGAGGAAACAGGGGAGAGTGAAAAGCAAGCTCACAACCCCAGGCTTCGGGAGAGCAGACTTTGGCCTCTTCAAAGATCTGCTTGGAAGAGTCCCATGGGATAAGGCCCTGGAGGGAAGAGGGCCCCAAGAAAGCTGGTTAATAATCAAGGATCACTTCCACCAAGCTCAAGAGAGTTCCATCCCAACAAGCAGGAAGTCAGGCAAAAACGCCAAGAGGCCTGCATGGATGGCTTGAACAAGGAGCTCCTTGTTCAAACACAAAAAGGAAGCATACAGAGGGTGGAATCAAGGATGGGTAACCTGGGAGGAATACAGAAACATTGTCCGAGCATCCAGGGATGAAGTTAAGAAAGCTAAAGCCCAAATGGAATTCAATCAGGCCAGGGATGTCCAGGACAACAAGAAGGACTTCTTTAAGCATGTAGGTGACAAAAGGAAGACCAGAGAAAATGTGGGCCTATTGCTTAACAAGATGGGCACCTGGTTACACAGGACATGGAAAAGGCAGAAGTACTGAATGCCTTCTTTGCCTCCGTCTTTACTAGCAAGGCCAGCCTTCAGGACTCCCAGGTCCCAGAGACCAGGGGAAAATCTGGAGCAAGGAAGATGTACTCTTGGTGGAAGAGGATCAGGTCAGGGAATACTTAAGCAAACCGGACATACGTAAGTCCACGGGCCCTGATGGGATGCCCTCATAAGTGCTGAGGGAGCTGGCTGATGTCATTGTGAAGCCACTCTTGATAATCTCGTCACTGCGACTGGCAGAAGTGCCCAAAGACTGGAGGAAAAAAACGGTCACTCCTATCTTCAAGAAGGGCAAGAAAGTGGACCCAGGGAACTACAGGCTGATCAGCCTCACCTCCATCCCTGGGAAGGTGATGGAGCAGCTAATCCTGGAAACCATTTCCAGGCACATGACAGACAACAAAATCATCAGTAGTAGTCAGAATGGCTTCAACAAGGGGAAGTCATGTTTGACCAACTTGATAAACTTCTACAACGAAAAGACTGGCCTGGTAGACAAGGGGAGAGCAGTAGATATTGTCTACCTGGACTTCAGTAAGGTCTTTGACACTGTCACCAATAAGATCCTCATAGACAAGGTGTTCATGCGTACACAGGCTGGATGAGCAGACAGCAGGGTGGACTGAAAACTGAACAGCCAGGCCCAGAGGGTGGTGATCAGCGGTGCAAAGTCTAGTTGGAGGACAGTGGCTAGCAGTCAATGGGGTCAATACTGGGTCCAGTTCTATTCAAAATCTTCATTAATAATCTGGATGATGGGGCAGAGTTGTACCCTCAGCAAGTTTGCTGATGACACAAAACTGGGAGGAGTGGCTGATACGCAGAGGGTTGTGCTGCCATCCAGAGGGACCTCAACAGGCTGGAGAAATGGGCTGACAAGAACCTCATGCAATTCAACAAGGGACAGTGCACCTGAGAAGGAACAATCGCAGGCACCAGTACCTGCTGGGGGCCACCCACCTGGAAGGCAGCTTTGCAGAAAAGGACCTAGGGGTCCTGATGGACACTAAGTTGACCATGAGCCAGCAATGTGTTTTTGTGGCAAAGAAGGAATATGGTATCCTGGGCTGCCTTAGACAAAGTATTGCCAGCAAGTCAGGGGAAGTGATACTTCCACTCTACTGAGCACTGGTGAGGGGAGTATTGTGTCCAGTTCTGGGCTCCTCAGTACAAGAGAGATGTGGACACACTGGAGAAAGTCCAACAAAGGACCACTAAGTTGATTAAGGGACTAGAACATCCCACATGAGGAAAGGCTGAGAGAGCTGGGATCATTCAGCCTGGAGAAGAGAAAGCTCAGGGGGAATCTCATCAATGTATATAAATACCTGAAGGGAGAGTCCAAAGCTCTTTTCAGTGGTGCACAGTGAAAGGACAAGAGGCGATGGGCACAAACTGAAACACAGGACGTTCCCTCTGAACATCAGGAAACACATTTTTACTGTGAGGGTGACAGAGCACCGGCACAGGTTGCATAGGGAGACTGTGGAGTCTCCATGCTTGGAGATATTCAAAAGCCGGCTGGACACAGTCCTGGACAACTGGCTCTAGGTGACCCTGCTCAAGCAGAGGACTTGGACCAGAGGACCTTAGCCATTCTGTGATTCTGTGCAGGGGGTGAGCAGCAGCCACCAGCACAGCGAGATGGGGCCCTTGATTTTCACCACACTGCAGGAAGTTCAGGCCACCTTTTTTGTTGGAGGAAAGCACATCGTGCTGGAGCTCCAGCATGGCAGGCTTGGAGCGATCAGTGGACATCTATAGAGAGCTCCCACGGCCCCTGACCGCCCGAGCTGGGCTCTGACCCCACCTCGAGCTTCATTTCAGGGATGCATGTCCTGAGGCCCCCTGGCCATGCACTGAGGGGAAAACCAGTAGCGAGTGAGGCAAGAGCTGCTCCAGCATCTGCTGTAGCCTTCGGCCAGGCTGGAGCAGCCCAGGCCCCAGCCCCAGGGCACCCTGTCATGGGGGCAGAGCCCCCTCTACCCAGTGCCCCTGGGAGCCCTCACAAGCCCTGTGCCATGCTCCTGGCCGCCCCACTGGGCCGCCCTCACACCTGCCCAGCTGGTCTCTGTAAGCAGGCACCCGCACCCGCACGGCCCGCACGGCGGCGTCACCCCGCCCTCTGTGACGCCCCCTTGTGACGCCTCCGAGCGTGCTCGCCGCCATTGTTGCGCAGGCACAGAGCAGGTGCTCAGTGCTGACGCCACCGCTGTGGGAGCGGCAGCACGTCCCGGGTTGGGAGTGTCGGTGTGTCCCAGCCCCCTCCTTGGGGGCTCCAGGCGGCGGCCACCGCTCGGGTAGAGCTTGCCTCCCTTGTGCCTCTCCTCCTCCTCATCCTCGCCCTCACCCTTGTCCTTGTCCTTGCCTGGGGCCTGGAACAGTCTGCCGAGTGCCTCCTGCTGCTGGTCGCTCCCAGCAGGCTGCTGCATGTGTGCAGCATGTACCGCAGCATGCGCCGCAGCATGTGGAGGGTCATGGGACTCTTCAGCAAGAAGCGGCAGCAGTCACCCTCCGGCAGCACTTCTGGGCAGTCCTGCGCTGCCACCAGCACCACCAGTGCCTATGAACTCCAGGAGAAGGACCTAGGCAGACTGCACCGCGCGGCGGCCCACGGCAACCTGGCCTGGCTGAGGCGGTGGCACTGGTGGCTGAAGAGAGTCAGCATCAACAGGCGAGACAAGGAGAAGCGGTGAGGGGCTGTGGGCCACTGAGGGACACCTTGGCTGCTTCTGGCGGGCGTTGCTGCAGGAGGCTCTGAGCCAAGCTCCACTAGTCCTCGGCAGCCCTCTCTCAAGCACAAGGAGTGTGTTACGACGCATAGCCTACTGATCCAGCAGGAGCATCAGCATGGCGCGACCAACTCTCCTGGTAGCTTTTGGGTGCCATGCTTCTGCCCCTAAGGCTTTGTGCAGGATCACATTCAAGCTAATCGCTTGAAAAGTGAGATTTGCCCTGTCAGCTGGGAAAGTGAACTCTAGAGCTTTCCATTGCTTGTAGCTGCCAGGTCTGCTCGCGTGCTGTTGGGAGCACATGCCGCTGACCTGCCGCTTTGCTGTGGTCTCCTTGCAGGCTGTTTTTGCAGCTGCTCAGGCATCACCAGTTCTCTTCTGCCCTGTGGGTGATCAGTGCAGGATTGCAGCAGCAGCAAGCGGGAGGAGCAGAGTCTGGGCAGGGTCCCCAGGGCTGGGTGGCGACACAGTTTTGGTTCTTTTGTTGTCTGTTAAGCTCATATGCTTAATTTTTAGGACACCTCTGCATCTTGCTTGTGCGAACGGCCATGCAGATGTCGTTAGCTTTCTAGTACAAGAGAACTGCCAGCTGAACCTCACTGACAATTTCAAGAGATCGCCACTGATGAAGGTATGTGGAACATGTAATGCTCTTGTAAGTGGGGCTTATCGACTGTGCATTAAATGAGAGGTGTCTGGCAGGATTCTTTACACAGACGTGTGTAGAAACATGCATGTGGTAATCAGCGTGGAATAGGTATAGATTAGCTAATCTTTGAAGATGCTCTTCTTTCCCAGCGTTCAGAAGCTGGGAGAGTTGTGACAGAGTGAAACGTAGAAGTTGGAAGTCTTTCCTTTTTTGTATGTTGTTCCCAGGCAGTACAGTGCCAGCAAGAAAAATGTGTGGCTATTCTGCTAGAGCATGGTGCTGACCCGAATCTGGCAGATGCTGACGGCAACACTGCCCTTCACCTGGCTGTCCTATCTCCTAATACAGCTGTAGCGGGTCTGTTACTTGAGCATAATGCCAATATTGATGCTCAGAACCAGGTAACCTAGGCATTTGGGTAAAGCTGCTCTTTCAAAACAGCACTGAACTTGTCTGTTTTTCTAACTGGGATTATTTATCCCTTCAGGAGGGATATACCCCCCTTAATCTTGCTGTCTCCAAACACCACAAGGAGATGGTAGAGTTTCTTCAAAAAAAAGGGGCTGACGGACATGCTCAAGATCAGCGTGAAAGGTGAGGGGTTTGTCAAAACAGCACACAGGTCTCCTTAGTCGTCTGCAAGAGTGATTGATGAGAGGCATGGGAATGAGCTTTGAAAAAGAAGAAGGATCACATGGAAGGAGTCCCCTTGTAAAAGCACGTCTGCGCTTGGCTGCTCTCATACCTCAACTGCTCTCATACTTTCTGCACCGAGGACTGCAAGAAAGCGTTGTCTGTGGTGCCCCCTCCCCACACAGACCCAGACCCAGACCCAGACCCAGCAGGAACCTTGCCATTAGCTCAGCAGCACCACTGCTCTGCAGGAGAGGGTTTTTTAAGTGGAGGCATAGTTGGTGCATAAACGTTGTCAATGGAAGCGTTAGGAGAAAGGGAGGCAACATTGTCTGAGTGACAAGGGGCATAAAGTGAAACACGAGGGGTTCCAACTGCATGTAAGGAGAAAACTTCTCGGCATGAGGACAATCAAGCAGTCGAACAGCTTGCCCCAGGAGTTTGTGCAGCCTCCATCCGTGGGGACTGTGAAGAGCAGAGTGGAAGGATCCCTGAGCAGCGTGGTCTGACCTCGTAGCTGAGTCTGCTTTGGGGAGGCGGTTGGCCTTGAGACTTCCTGAGGTCCCTTCCAACCTGAATTCTCCCAACACTTGTGTGTATTTGGCTTTGCTTTCACTGTGCTTGTAGGAAAGGGGGAAAGAATTGTTTTGGGAGCAAGTAGGGATTAAAATGATGACAATGTGGTGCCTGCAGAAGCGGATATATTTCATATCACCTTTTGGATGCTTTAGGACTGCTCTTATGGTTGCCACATTTGCAGAGGATATGAATGCAATCCAACTTCTTCTTTGGCATGGTGCTGATAGTCTTATAGGGATATGAATGCAATCCAACTTCTTTGGCATGGTGCTGATAGTCTTATAAAGATAACTCTGGCTTCATGGCTGTGGATTATGCTCGCATGTCTAGACATGTTGGGTAAATGGTTTACATTGTCGTTAGAGGGGCTGAGTTGTCAGTGTCTGGGCTGATTTATGAACCTTTTTGGTAACAGCACCAAGGTTTAACGATAAGTTGAGACCTTTGTTGAAGCCGGGCTCAGTGATGTCTTCTGATACATCTCCTTCTCATGTCAAGAGTGGATGTGGAAATTGAGGAGAACTTCCACCCACAATGCTCTCTTAGAATTCCCGCATGCGTAGCTAAGTTCTGTGCAACCCTACTGCCCAGGAACTACCCGCCTTTTGTTTCAGTGGGGATCTGCCTGTGCACAGCTTTGCACCGTGGGCATTCCTCCTTGAAGGTGGTTATGTATGCTTAAAAGCTAGGCTTAAGAAAATAGCCCTTTTTCCTCATGGTGGCAGCCATCTGAAAGCACTACATTATCCCGAGGAGCATGCCTTGTCTTGCCCATAAACATCTGCCCAAAACCACTTGTCACTGAACGCTGACTTCATTTCTTCTCCCCCTGCCCCATTCTGTTAGCCTGTATCGATGGGAAGCTGGAGAGAAGGGCACCTGGGTAAACTCTGACTTCTAAACAGCTTTATGAATAAAGCATGTTTGATGGGCATTACTCTAGGAAAAAAAGATCTTCATTCCTTACTCCAGTGTTCTGGCACAGCATAAATGTTGCACTAATGCAGCAAACATGCAAATGTTGCACTAATGCACTGTTTTTCATAGAAGCCTTGGTCTGAGCGAGTGCTTTTCTGCTGTTGCTGCAGGGGTGTTTAAGCTTCAGTTAAAAAGCAAACCTGAAAGGGGTCTCTCTCAGGAGCCCAAATTTACTCTCTCTCAATGTTGTTAGAATCATAGAATAGTTTGGGTTGGAAGGGACCTCTAAAGGTCATCTAGCCCAACCTCCCTGCCACAGGCAGGGACATCTTCAACTAGAGCAGGTTCCTCAGAGCCCCGTCCAACCTGACCCTGAATGCTTCCAGGGATGGGGCATCCACCACCTCTCTGTGCCACCACCTGTGCCAGTGTTTCACCACCCTTAGCGTAAAACATTTCTTCCTTAGATCTAGTCTAAATCTACCCCCCTTTAGTTTAAAGCCATTCCCCCTTGTCCTGTTGCAACAGGCCCTGCTAAAAAGTTTGTCCCGATCTTTTTTATAAGCCCCCTTTAAGTACTGATAGGCTGCAATAAGGTCTCCCTGAAGCCGCCTCTTCTCTAGGCTGAACAACCCCAACTCTCTCAGCCTTTCTTCATAGGAGAGGTGTTCCATCCCCCTGATCATTTTTGTGGCCCTCTTCTGGACCCGCTCCAACCGGTCCGTGTCTTTCTTATGCTGAGGGCTCTAGAGCTGGACACAGTACTCCAGGTGGGGTCTCAGCAGAGCAGAGTAGAGGGGCAGAATCACCTCCCTCGACCTGCTGGCCACGCTTCTTTTGATGTAGCCCAGGATACGATTGGCCTTCTGGGCTGTGAGCACACGTTGCTGGCTCATGTCCAGCTTTTCATCCCCCAGTACCCCCAAGTCCTTCTCGGCAGGGCTGCTCTCAATCCCTTCATCCCCCAGCCTGTATTGATACTGGGGGTTGCCCCAACCCAGGTGCAGGACCTTGCACTTGGCCTTGTTAAACCTCATGAGGATCACACAAGCCCACTTCTCCAGCTTGTCCACCTCCCTCTGGATGGCATCCCATCTCTCAGGCGTGTCGACCACACCACTCAGCTTGGTGTCATCTGCAAACTTGCTGAGGGTGCACTTGATCCCACTGTCTTTGTCATCGATGAAGATATTAAACAGTACCAGTCCCAATACGGACCCCTGCAGGATGCCACTCGTCACCAGTCTCCATCTGGACATTGAGCCGTTGACCACTACTCTCTGGATGTGACCATCTAACCAATTCCTCACCCACTGGACAGTCCACCCATCAAATCTATACCTCTCCAGTTCAGAGAGAAGGATGTTGTGGGGGACCGTGTCAAAGGCCTTACAGAGGTCCAGACAGACGACATCTGTAGCCCTTCCCGTGTCCACTGATGTAGTCACTCCATCATAGAAGGCCATTAGGTTAGTCAGGCAGGACTTGCCCTTGGCGAAGCCATGCTGGCTGTCTCGAATCCCCTCCCTGTCCTCCATGTGCCTTAGCATAGCTTCCAGGAGGATCTGTTCCATGATCTTCCTAGGCACAGAGGTGAGACTGACTGGCCTGTAGTTCCCTGGCTCTTCCTTTTTTCCCTTTTTAAAAATGGGGGTTATGTTTCCCCTTTTCCAGTCAGTGGGAACTTCACCGGACTGCCACAACTTCTCAAATACAATGGATAGTGGCTTAGCAATTTCATCCGCCAGTTCCTTCAGGACCCACGGATGGATCTCATCGGGTCCCATGGGCTTGTGCACCTTCAGGTTCCTTAGATGGTCTTGAACCTGCTGTTCTCCCACAGTGGGCGGCTCTTCATTCTCCCAGTCCCCGCCTTTGCCTTCTGTGGCTTGGGCAGTGAGGCTCGAGCACTTGCCGGTGAAGACCGAGGCAAAAAAGTCATTGAGTACCTCTGCCTTCTCCGTGTCCTGGGTAATCAGGTCTCCCATTTCATTCCGGAGAGGGCCCACATTTTCCCTCGTCTTCCTTTTATCCCTTAATTACCTATAGAATCTTTTCTTGTTGCCCTTGACGTCCTGTCATTCTCTCTAGAATAGAATACCTGTTCAATGTAAACACATGCAGTGCTCAGAATGCAACCCCAGTCTTTTTTGGCCTCTTGATCATACTTAGGAGCTGTCTAAACTCTCAGGTCAAAGATTTCTGAAGTCCTTCCAAGTCAGGACTGTGTTTGAGGAGTCCATAGGCTGGCTTGACGTGAATAGTTGCAGCATTAATGTAGCATCCTGCGGATGTAGCACCCTTGCAGTTAGATGTGAATCTGCCAGAGGGCTTGTTAATTTTTGTAGTGCTCCCTGTGAAGAGGTTGTTTATCAGTTTAGATTGTAGCCAGCAGTACTGAAGTGCTTCACAGATACCAATATGCATCTAGAGAAGGAACATGCCTGCAGTGAATATTTCATCATGTAATAGTAGTGCAAGAGTAAGGAGTGTGGGGAGGTGTGTTACCGTTTCTCAGTTGGCAACGAAAATGGAGAGGCTTGGTAAGGAATGGCTGTTGCTGTCCTAGTCAAGCGTGTATGTAAAGATGTGGTTGTTCTTACCAACTCCATTTCCTCTCTTTCTGTATATAACTTTAGTAAGCTACTGGCGGAAAACATGGACAGTGAAAACACGGAAGAATCTTCTGCAGGTGGTGCAGCAGACAAGGCAGTTCTCAGCAGCTCCTGCCCTGTGAGGACTGCTGACTTTGCATGCGCTGCACTTGCTCAGGACAGAGGAGGTAGGATCCTTAACTGTGGAAGAGCTGATGAGGAAAATCACTGTGGCCTGTAGTAGAACTGTTCCTTGTCTTTTGGTGCTGGGTTTGGATGATGGGAAAAAGCAGAGTGCGATAAACACTCACAGTGTGCTGCTTCTTACCTCCTTTGTAGGTGCCCTGCCAGCGGAAGGAGCAGAGCAAGAGGAAGATGCTGAATCTCCCAGGGATTTCGAGGTACCTTCTGTTGAGGGATGCAGTGGGGTCCCCCTTGGTTTGCTTGCTTTTGGGCTTATTTACCTCTGGGCTCATTGACCTCTTCTGCTGCTCCCGCCACACATTTGTAACTGGGGGCCCTTGAAATACTTGTGCTCTAGGCCAGCTGTTCATTTAGGACTGGGACAAAGGCAGGTCAAGCTAATGACCTGGGTCTCACAGTCACTGGCCTTTGAGTTTCATTACTAGTATTGTATAGAAGCAGTGAAGCTTCCCCCTGCTTCCCCCTGGCAGCATGGAGGTGCTCAGCTGAGAAAGATGGAGAGAGGTCATCAGTTTTGCAGGTGCCTGCTGGTGGCGAGCAACATTTCTTATCTTTTAATTCACTCTGAAGACTGACCTAATTATGTAACCTAAGAAGTAAAAGCACACCTCATATTCTCATGTTCTTACTGAATTCTTTGTGCTCACGTAACACCATTTCTTTAGGACTGGGTCACACAGCTGCAGCAGAAGCTTGCCGATGCTCTTAAAAAGCAATCCATGTCAGAAGCTTCACTGGAAGTTACTATGCATTACCACAGTGACCTGGAGGAAGACAAGCTGCGCTTGCAAAAGGAACTGGACAGGGTTGAAGCTGAGGTATGGAAAGCCTGTCACTATAGGAATAAACCTGTGGGTGGCTGTTCCTTCCTGTACATTGTGAAAAAGGACAAAATGGTATTCTGGGAGCCAGTAGTAGAGAGATCTAAGGAAGTTAACAATGATCCCTGGTCATAATTCATGAAGCCAGTGAAACATTCAGCTACGTGGCCTTCTCTTCCAGAGTGCAAGATAGTGTTACTTCAGTCATCATAAAGCCGACTGGTTTCTTTTGCAAGTAAGAGACAATCTTGCTCCTCAACCCCACAGCAGAAGCTCCTGTTCAGGCTCTGGGGTAGTATTGCAGCAATGTCCTTTCTCTTCCCCTCTTCCTCCCCTCCCTTGGTGATAAACACAGCTGGCCCTTTGGGGAGCTCCTCGCAAGCTGGAGGGGCAAGGCATTGCGTTGGGAGCAGCCTTCTGGTGGCTAGGTACGAACAGAGCAGTTTGTTCTCTCTCGAAACTCACCTCTGCTCTGAGGCACTATTTCCCTTTTCAGGATATTGCACTCTTTCTTTATATTCTTCTGTTTGTATACAACATATGTTCCTTATTTGTAGCTTGCTAAATATGTGTGAAGGTCGTTGTCTTTGTTTTGGGTGCACAGTGTGTAAAACAATGTGAACCTTCTTCATGGTTGAAGGAACTTTTAAAGAGTTGTTAGGGTTTGGGCTTTTTTTAATAGTACAGGTGTCAGAACCATGTGGATTGAACTAAGCAAGAAGCAGAGCTTGTTTGTAGGTGGGGTGTTTGCACTGTATATGCAAAGCAGCATCTCAGCATCTTTTTTCCCCCGTTCTTTGGCCCTGCTGTAATTTGCCATCCTTAAGCGGCCTTCTTGCAAGTGAATTGTAAGCTACTTTCCAAGGCAGGGACCTACAAAAACTGAAGTATAGAGGCCTCGGAGTTCTGAAATAGAAATCACCTTAAATCTCCTTATGAGGGAGTTGTGAAGTCACTTTAGGAGAAGGATGAACTTCTTAATTCATATTTTCAATGGAGGAGCAAACAAGTGGACACAAATGAGTGTCGTGAGTCACTGAAAGGGTGGGAGGGGCAGTGTCGGTGCTCAGAACCGTGCTGTAGGAAACCAGTGTGGGGATGGGAGAGGCCAGTATAAAAGACGATGAAGTAACACAGTTTGCGTTCATTTGCTAGTAGAAGTGAAGGTTTGAATGTACTTGAAATGACTACAGTTCTTTGAGTAGAGCGTATGTGCAGATATATGCAGTACTTGAATTCTTCAGCAGCAGTTGACTCCTCTATATAAAAGCTCCCTGACTACTGTGGATTCTTACTGTGATTTTACAGTTGCGGGAGCTGGAAGAACAGCATCTTCAGTCTGAGCATTGTGTTCATGACTTGAAGGCTGCCTTGGATAATAAGGAAAGAGAAGTAATAGCTTCTTCTCAGAAGCTGCAGGACCTCCTGTTGGCATCTTCTGGGACTAATACTACTATAAAACAACTGGAAGAGCACGTGCAACGGTAAGAGAATAACACAGTGAAGCAAGGTGCCTGTCACTTTCTGGGATTGTGTGAAAACAACAGGATAGCCTTGTTGCATCACAGCAAGTTGTTAACACGATTTTGAAGGATGCTTTTGTTTTGGATTACGTTACTTCACGCTGTTCTTTCAGAATTGGTGCTCTGGTGGATTTCCGTAATAAGACCTGTATTTCTTTTTAAGCCTTGAAATTGAAAATGCCAGATTGGAAGCCACAGTCCAGCAACAAAGCAATAGGATTGAAGCCCTTCAGAGAGACCTGCAAGCCTCTGCCTCGGTAAGCTGATCAGAAACTTCCCTTTTTGTGAGCCCCTGAGCCTAGTTACCTCTTTCTGTGGGGAAATTTTAAGATGAGGTTTACCGGGGGCGCCTTGGGGAACT